GACACAAGGCAATGGCTGGATGTTAAAAACTCCACACGCCTCTCAGGCTGTTAAGTATAAGATCGGGAAGGGCCACTGTCTCCATGTAACAGCTCAGACATGCATGGCATAATTTTCAGGGAAGCTTAGAACTACTGGCAGGATCAACCATGTCGCATCTCCACAGAAGCTCAGACTAAGAACTCAGACTGTCCTGGTGTCTTGACTGCTGGACTCCCGGTGTGATAGCTCAGACATGCAAAGCTGCAGAGCTGAAATATCTTAATGGTTGAGGGAAGCATAGGACTGCTGGCAGGATCCATAGGTTGCATCTCTACAGAAGGTAAGAAAGCACGTGTCTACGTGCCCTCGCTGCTGAACTCGGGCCATGCGTCAATGAGTCAAACAGTGCTCCCAACTCATGCAAACTTATGCAACGAAAGAGCAGGAACTGACTTGTGCTTCTGCCTGGATCATAACCTTCAGCTCCAACTGGGTGCTAACCAAATCCATTCTGACATGCAGACATTTTAAAGAACATGACGTCAACAACATCCATCACTGCACCTGACCCGCTGAGTTCAAGGCCAGTTCATGGTGGCGGCGAGAAAGACCACATGTGTGCATGCGTGTGTGTGTGTCTGTGTGTGTGTGTGTGCGTGTCTGGGTGTCTGGAAGAATATCGACAAGGACCGAGGACGACCACTGACCCTGTTGCTGGACACCCCCCCTCCACTCGACAAGTCTCTATATGTTCCTAACTAGGAACTGCTACTGCTAGTAGTAGTAGCAGTAGCAGTAGTAGTAGTACTAGTAGTAGTAGTAGTACTACTACTACTACTACTACTACTACTACTACTACTACTACTACTACTACTACTACACCCCACATCCCAAATGACCGAAACGGATCACACGAATGATGACTCCTAACAAGGGCCACCCTGGTCTAGGGTCACCCTTTGCACTTCCCGATATATGCTCATATGTATACATATATGTATATATGTATATATATATATATACATATATATATACATATATATATCTCTCTCTCTCTCTCTCTCTCTCTCTCTCTCTCTCTCTCTCTCTCTCTATGGCTGTATCGTTTTCGGATGGCAAGGCCTCGGCATCGATATAAAGCATACCACTACTGAGTATAGCATATATAATGTACTGAAATGCAGTGAAGTGACTAGTGACTTGACTAGTGACTAGTGTGCAGCAGAAGCCTCAGATACAGAGAAATCACAACTCACACCTGCTGGCCTTGTGCTTCCGACGCGATCGGTCCTGTCTGCAAGCTTCTGCATCCAGTCATGATGCAACGGACAACTGACACATGTGTCGGACTCCATGATGGCCTTCTTCTTCTTCTTCTCCAACTCGGACCCTAAAGCAGCCTCGAAGTCGGACATGGGTATGGTAATGCTGTCATGCAGCCACGAAAAGAAAGACGTGCATCATGGCCTCTGTGCTCTCCTCCTCACCCTGCAAGTCGGAGATGTGTATGGTCATGCTGTCATGCACCCACGGAAGCACAAACATGCATATTGCGATGCAAGCTTTGCATGGCCTCCTGCGACACCAGTGAGATCGGCGACAGTCGGGCCGGCAGGGGTGCTGCTTTGGAAACTAAAACTGGTTTCCAAAGCGGCTGCTGTGGGGCAGCAGGCATTGGCTTCGGCCTTTGGGGTTTGGGTTGCCTGGCCTGTCCGGCCAGGCAACCCGAAGTCGGTCCCGCTGCTGGAGTCGGTCCGGAAAAAGTGTCGTGTGGAGGAGGGGTCTTCGGTGGAGGAGGGGGGGGTGGAACCGGGGGTGGGTATGGGACGTGGACGCCCAGCACTGGTGCAACCGGTGGCGGCCAGTTTGTCTCGGGATCCATGGTTGCTACTCGGGCCCGGCTACACTGCTTGCTACTCGGGCCCGGCTACACTGCTGCTGCTACACTTCTACAGGATCTCTACTGACTAGAGCAAGGATCGGCCATGCTTGCTCGGGCCTCTTTTTTGTTGTGGAGATGCTGTGGCTACACTGCTGCTGCTACACTTCTACAGGATCTACTACTGACTAGAGCAAGGATCGGCCATGCTTGCTCGGGCCTCTTTTTTGTTGTGGAGATGCTGCGGCTACACTGCTGCTGCTACACTTCTACAGGATCTACTACTGACTACAGCAAGGATCGGCCATGCTTGCTCGGGCCTCTTTTTTGTTGTGGTGATGCTGCGGCTACACTGCTGCTGCTACACTTCTACAGTAGGATCTACTACTGACTAGAGCACCTGGAATTGGTTTTGGCATTGGCCCAGAATACACAGACATGGAACTGTCAACTGCAGGAGCTGATGCTCTTAGGATCTTAGCAGTCTTAGCACCAGGAGAGCCAAATAGCACTGCAGAACTACATGCACAGGCAAACTCATGCCGAGTCAGAATGCAATGCACATGGAAGCTGT